ATTTATATGACTTATCAAGAATTTAATGTAGTGGTTACTATCATGAACTTTATTGAAAACCTAGCATCTAACTGCAATCCTAAGGGCAAATGTCAATCTAATTTAGCTCGTGGTCATGCCATGGCATATTTTATAAGCCAAATACAATCTCACTTATTCCGAACAATCAAATCACGTTATTTTTCCTTCTTCGACTACTCATTCCATGTAATATACAATGAGAGCTACAGTGTTAAGGATGTTAATAGTAGTAGTGAAGAAAAAATGGCTGAATAATCATCACATATAGCAGCTCCATAGCCACTACCACCAACCCAATATGAGCATTGTCACCCTCAAGATGACTAGACAGAATATTTTGCTAGACTCAAGCTCAAACTCAATCATCACATAAATCAAAATAAAGCTAATTAATTAGATCCATATATGGATCATCTCGTATGATGCCATACAATCTTCTTGATTTATTCTGAATCGAACTAGTCATAATCAAATCTTCTGACTTCATTCTTTCAAACAGCTATCAGGTGATATTTTGGAATTCAACAATGACTAATTGATTAGAAAGAACATGATTAACAATGTTTTGATTTACATATACCCTTGGAAACCTTTGGGAAAAATAGTGATACAATCGTAAGCCTATAACTAATCTTCACAAGTCTCCCTCTCTCCCCTTTCTCAAAACTTATTGTTCTGCCACTTGCAATTTGATTGTTGAGAGAGCTTTCTGACCATTTTTTTTTTTGTAAGAAAATTGCAGATCTCAAAGTTTTTTTTTCTATTTAAAATAATATTACCTAGTAGTTTCCACGTTTAAAGTTGGTAGTAGTGAACTAACAGATTATGCTAAAAGAAGCAAACTTCTCAATTTGACTAAAAACATAGGGTGGCTTGACAGACATCAAGGATAATTTATTAAAAAATTCCTCCACCTGTGATTGCTAATGAAAGACTCAATAAGCAAATGTAAACCTCAAAGTGGTTAACCCCTAAAATTGGATTGAATTATCTACTTTTATTTTTCACATTTCACTTCACTACTTTTCCTCATAGAAACATAATTAGATCATGTTTTTAATTCAAGATTGAGATTTTTAAATAGCCCAATCACCTCCTCCCCGCAATGTTGGCTTATGCCATTGCATTCAATTGATTCCAACTTCTAACTTTTAACAATATTTGAAGGAGGCTTATAAGTATAAATTGGGACTTCTTAGGCATATAAAAAAAATAATTCAATTAATATTCTATTTTGATTAACACTGCCGTTGCCAGGTCCCAAGTCCTGGATGAAAAAAGTGGAGGGTTGCGTTAGGTAGTCGACAGCCAGCGTAAAACTTGTCGAACAATAATGACATGAATCCTTTAAGAAATTGTGTTAATGCTAGGGCGTCCCCTGGAAGCGACGCGCTGTATGGCCTGAATACAGTGACAAGTGTGCAAGGGCCGCTGCACCGGCGCCCGGGTGCAGTGTTAAATAGGCAAGGGTTCCCACATCAAGGACGAATGTGGGCAAAGAAGCTAGTCCATGAAACTAAAATTAGGATAGGAACTTGGAATATAGGTTCCCTTACAGGAAAATTAATGGAATTAATAGATATTATGATTCATAGGAAGTTAAATATTTTGTGCATTCAGGAAACTAATGAGGTTGGAGATAAGGCTAAGAAATTGATAGTTTAGATTTAACTTTGGATTCGGTAGGAGTCGTACTAGAAAATGGTGTAGGTGTATTATAGATAAGTAGTTTAAAGGATAATGTTATATAAATTAATAGGATTGGAGATAGAATTATAGCTTTAATATTGTTGTTGATGATAAGGATTGTTAATATTATAAGTGCTTATGCTCCTCAGTAGATTTTGGATATGAGTTCTAAATTAAATTTTTGGAAATGACTTAGAAGAATTAATACAAAATATACTCTTGAAGAAAGCAGTTTTTATTGGAGGAGATTTAAGATGGACATGTTGGTAGAGAGGTAGATGATTTTAAAAGCATTCATGGTGGCCATGATTTGAACGACGAATGAAGGTGGCAAGACCATATTTGATTTTTGTTTAGCTTATGATTTTTTAATTGCTAATACCTTATTAAGAAAGGAATGAGCATCTCATCACTTTATAAAAATGGAATATAATACAACCCAGATTGACTATTTTCCTTATTAGAAAATAAATCGTTTAGATGCAAAGATTGTTAAGTTAATTCCGAGTGAAAATTATTACCCAAACATCGATTATTAGTTTTGACTTTAAGATAAAGGGGCATAAAATAAAAAATAAAGTCAAACATTTTCTAGGAATTAAATGGGGGATTCAAAGAATATTAACAAAATATTTTTGGAAATAAGATTTTAGATCTTAAGATTTGTGTCTGTGCATGAGATGCTATATATTACTGTGGGAAAAAGTGGGCTAGTGATATTAAGAATATTGCAAAAGATGTCCCTTGAGTATCAAGGGAAAAGCTCCAAATAGTAAAAATAGCTGGTGGTGGAATCCTAATGTGCAATAAAAAATTAAATAAGAAGCGCTTTGTTTATAAATTGGTCTATAATATATAAGCGGTCAATTGAAGAAAACTAGAGTAATAAGTGGCTCGTAAGGATGCTAAGAAAGCAATATGCGATGCAAAGGCATTAGCTTTAGTGATTTATTAATAAGATTAGATACTAAAAGAGGGAGAAAGATGTATGTATAAGTTAGTCAAACAAAGAGATATGAGTAGTAAGGATTTAGTTCAAGTGAAGTGTATTAAAGATGAAGATCAAAAAATACTTTTCTTAGAAGATGATATTCAACAAAGATGGATGAGATATTTTGCTAACCTTTTTAATGAAGATTGTGAAAATAAGATTGACTGTAGTGACCTTAGCACCCTAAATGAAAGTAAAGATTTCTGTTTTTATCGGCGTATTAGTAAAACTGAAGTTAGAGAGGCTTTAAATAGAATGAAGGGTGGAAAAGCTGTTGGACCTGATGATATTCCAATAGAGGTGTGGAAATGCTTAGGAGATGAAGGGATTTCTTGGCTTACTAAACTTTTTAATACTATTTTGAAGACTAAGAAGATGCCAGATGAGTGGAGAATGAGTGTGTTAATTCCTATTTTTAAGAATAAAGGTGATGTTCAAGATTGTGCGAATTATAGAGGTATTAAGTTAATGTGTCATACTTTAAAACTATGGGAGCGAGTTTTGGAGCATAGGTTGCGGCGTGATACTAATGTTTCTCAAAATCAATTTGGATTTATGCCGGGTAGGTCGACTATGGAAGTCATACATTTATTAAGAGGTTTGATGGAGAAATATAGAGAAAATAAGGATGATCTACATATGATATTTATTGATTTAGAAAAAGCATATGATAAAGTTCCAAGAGAAGTGCTATGGAGAGTTCTTGAAAAGAAAGGAGTCAATAATGCTTATATTCAAATCATTAAAGATATGTATGCAGGAGCTATTACTTGTGTTCAAACACAAGGTGGATTGACCAAGTATTTTCCTATTTCGGTTGGGTTACATCAAGGATCAGCCTTAAGCCCATATCTTTTTGCTTTAGTCTTGGATGTTCTCACTAGACATTTGCAAGAGTATGTACCTTTGTGTATGCTTTTTGCTGATGATATTCTTCTTGTTGATAAGACTAGAGAGGGAGTTGAAGGTAAACTTGAATTATGGAGGTCAACCTTAGAGTCTAAAGGTTTTCGCTTGAGTAGATCTAAAACGGAATATATGGAGTGTAATTTTAGTAGTAATAGACCTAGTGAGGGGATTGTGACTTTGGGTGATCAAGTCATTAATAAGAGTACACGTTTTAGATATCTTGGATCTATTGTTCAGAGTGATGGTGAAATAGATTGTGATATTATCAGCATAATTCAAGTTGGATGGTTGAAGTGGAGGAATGCATCGGGCTTGGTATGTGATAGAAATGGAAGCCTCAAACTTAAGGGAAAATTCTATATGATGGTAGTGAGGCCTGCAATGCTTTATGGTGCCGAATGTTGGCCATTAAAAGAGAAGCATAATACTAAGTTAAGTTTGACAGAGATGAAAATGCTCAGGTGGTTGAGTGGCTTTACCCTTAGAGATTGGATACGAAATGAGCATAAACGTGAAAAGGTTGGAGTAGCTCCAGTAGAAGATAAGATTAGAGAAAGTCGCCTTAGATTGTTTGGTCACATAAAACGGCGGCCTTGCGATGACCCGGTTAGGAGAGTAGAGGTATTATATTTGACTTATGTTAAGAAAGGTAGGGGTAGACCTACAAAGACTTGGTTAGAAAATATTAGGAATGACCTTTCTTTATTAGATTTAAATGAGAATTTGACTTTTAATAGGACACAATGGAGAAAAAGGATTCATGTAGCCGACCCCACGTAGTGGGATAAAGGCTTGATGTTGTTGTTGTTGTTGAATATTCTATTTTGATTATGTATTGTTTTCCTTTATGTTTGAGTGAACGTGGAAGTGATTATTTCTATCCTAGTGTAGTTAAAAGACGACAAATTTGAAGGGAAATTATCTCTTTGTACCAATATGAAATTTGAATTATTATTTGTTGATTACTTATATTTGTTTTGTTTATATTTTCTAAATTAGTTATTGCTCTGCCTACAAATTGAATAATGTCAAAGTTGCATGATTGAATATTGTCTAATATGGCACAATCTTTTTTTTTTCCGTTATGGTGTGAGTTTTCAATCGACCATATAATTCTTTTATGATACTCTTCCATGCTTTGTTTCTAATTTAAATTTCTATTAGACGATTGCTAAATTAATGTTTATTCAGATCTTGTGTATTTTCATTATTCATCTAAAGTGAAAATTATTTACTAAATTAGAATTTTGTGACTACAAAATAACCTTGTGTGCGTGATTTTGTATCTTAAAAGTCATAAACCCTAAGATCTCATGTATCCTTACACCTAAGAAGCAGAACCTCCACAACCAAGTAACATAAAATTATTAGCTCCATAAAAAAAAATTACCAGCAAAGCTTGTTTCTTCTTCGAGTGCGAATGGACAACAAGTTCCCTTGAAAATTCATGCATGGAAGAGGCTATGTGTCTTCTCCCATTCTGAAATTTGACAATAAGAAGAGGTCAAAACAAGAAAATTAAAAACAATCACAGTTAGCCGATAAAAGAAATAAAACAATTATATTGAGTTTAGTTCTTTGTTTGTGCTCTTTGACGAATAACAACATCTTTGTGAAACTCTAGTAACTAATAAGCCCCTAACTAACCTTACCATGCAAATGACATTTGCAACCTTCAAGTCCTGTTGCAACTCCATTACAAGTTGCAAACCCTTCACTGTTCAAAGACAAATAGAAACATTAAGAACAATTCATCAACTAGTCCAATTAAATCTATTTGGTAATCCGAGAATGACTGAAGCCATAGGCAGAATTCAACAACAAGTGATCATCTTACTAATTATCAAGCATGAGTTCATCATCAATATCCACACTCAAACCAAACAACATAATATAACAATATACCATCAATCTTATGCTTAGAGCCTGAACAATGAAAAAACTGGCATATATATATATATGCAATGTAGAAAATGTCAATAAAAAGGGAGACTTCTGAAATTCTATTTTTATCCTATCAGAAGCCAATCTACAATGACAATAAGGGTAGTGCAAGGATTAAAAGTTTGGATAGTTTTTATAAAATAAGATTAGGGTTGAAATTTTATGTAGACTTCCAAAAATTTCACGTTATGCATGTATAGTGTGATTTAGAGGAGGCCAATGCTACAAACATGAAGATGAAGTTCATGAATCAGAGTTTTCAGATCAGCATCACAAGAAAATGGTGAACTAAAGCCAGGGTAAATGCGAGCTATCTTGGGTTGGTTCATCTGAAGCTCAGCATTTCAGGTTGAACTTAAAAGTTTCATTAACCAAAATCTAGCATAATTATTGTAGCATGAGAATTTCCCAATACAACAGAAAATGAATTTATTACCACAAAAAATTCCATTTGCCGCATCTTGTCTATCATTTTTCTCAAAACAGAATCACCACTTGCATGAAATCTTCAGCACTTCATTACTGCCTATAGAACACACTAAAATATAAGAGGGATATATATATATATATGTGTGTGTGTGTGTGTGTGTGTGTGTTTGTGTCCAAAGGGTGTTATAATTTATAGTTTCAAGATTTTCAAGTTATAATTTTTGTGTTATGTCAATATCGTAGCTTATGTCAATAGATCTACTTCATAGGCCCCTCCACAGCACGCCTTAATCAAATCACTTAGAATTGCTCGATTGGATTTACTTTTTCTTTTATTTTTTATAACTTCAAGAAACTTCCAATATTCTAAGAGAAACATTCACAACATTATTTTGATTCACAACTTATAAGACCATGTCACTGGAAAAATACCATGTGAATGGTTGTTTGGTAAAAGAAAAGAAAATGAAAGAAAGTTAGAAGAATCCAACAACAACTGTTATTAATGACTTCATTGCATTGACCAAAAGTAGTACTAAAAAAGGACAATTTCTCCACTATTTTAGGTTTTTTCATTCTAATTTTTTTATCAATATAAATACCACTTCATCCAACAATGCCCTCCATATTTATTAATCCATTCCAATGATTAAGGATTATTTTCCAATTTGCATTAGTTTTTAAAAACTCTGAACAATCCTTTTTCTTTCTACTCATTCATGTCTCCTATTTCCTTCATCAGCTTTGCTCTGTACCCGATTAGCAAGGAATTAGAAGGGAAGGACATAGAAGAGAAAATAAGAGCCAAAAGTTAAAAAAAATGAGAATAATAAGTCAGAAAAAAAAGTGCCACCAAATTGGCTTCTTGCCTTGGGATATTACTCTTGAACCTCAATAGTTATGGTTGCAACTTGATTTGTATGCCATAAAACAATCAATGAAAATCATGAAAAGAGTGTTATGTTTGCTTTGTTGTACAAGATTTGACATTTTTATGTCTTTAGGTTTGAACTAATGTCTAGAATTTTATTGTTCAATTTTCACCCTAAAACCGTCACCTTAATCACCAAAACAATGGTGGACAATATAAATGCATATGAAATTCATTCATATTGCTAAGAGTGCAATGGTTTCTTGCCTCTAATGTGCCTAGTTACCCCTTGCCTCGAGCTATATTATGGTTGCACCTTGATTAGTATGCTATAAAATATTTAATAAAAATAATCACAAGGATGCCATTTTTCTTTATTGTTTGATCTTTGACCTTTTTATTCCATTTAACATTGCTCAATTTCCAATCTAAAACCGTCACCTTAATCACTAAAACTAAGGTTGACCTTATGAATCCTTATGATGTTCATTCTTTTTATTGAGAATGGGGTTTGCTGCTGCTTCTAATTTAGTTAAACCTTTGAAAAACTTTCAATCTAGTCATCTTCAATTTGGAAATTCCCTAATACATAATGTAGGACCACTTGGTGTTACCAACTCTCCCAAAATTCATACTGTAAGAAGTGTGAACCAAGGCTTTATAGCCAATGTAACAACAATTACATCGACCATGGGATTCAAACATAAACCTCCATTAAAACACAGTCCTCAAACTATTATGCAATAATCACATGAAGAGACATACATGCATGGCAACACAACACATGAGACAAACCTTCAAACAAATGGGATGCTCTCTTTTCATTCTAATCCCAATCTGATACAGTAAATTGTCAAATCCATGACCCTTCCGTAGTACTACTTCACAAAGGACCACTTGGCAATACCGGCATTCCAAGAAATTCAAACTTATGAGAAGTGCATAACTTAGAATTGTTAACAAGTAGACTACAAGCTACAACTCTATAGGATTTGGGTTCTCATCCCAGAGGAAAGGTTGCCAAAGGCACTCATTATGCATTCTTTACACGTACTTTTGAAGCAAGATGATAAAGCGTGGAGCCACAACCTTTTGCTAGGTTGCAAAGCCCACCACGAAAAGTGTGTGCTTCGCAATGCTATGCGAAATGAAGCAAAATGCTTTGCATATGCTTCCACCACGATCGCAAGAGCAATTGGACAATGGTGCAAATGCGATGCAACGGTAAGTACAAGTGCACACAAGAAAATTATGTACGAGATGAAGTGAGAATGCAGTAGGCTCAGAACTCTAACAAGGGAGAAAGAATCACGCTTTGCACAGAAACGGGATCCAACTATAACTCAAAAGTAAAGGTATTGCAAGATGGAAACTATGCACTATTCCAAGAGAACATGTGCAGTGAGATGGATTAGAAGTTTATAAAATTGACAATTTGTGAGAGAAAGTTAGAATCAAGAATGATGGGAAATGGAGGGGAAGAGAAATTTATAGAATAAATATCATAAATAAATCTAAATAATGAAATTAAATAAAATAAAATAAACATTCACTAGTTTTATAAAATCTTTGACTTAGACCAAGCTTTAGTACTTTATTTGGCTTAAATTTGGCAAATTAAATGAGTACATAATATATAAATATAACATATACAAGTCTCTGACACTTCGCTTCATGATTTCGCTTAGAGTCTAAAGGTTTTTGCTTGAGTAGATCTAAAATGAAATATATGGAGTATAATTTTAGTAGTAATAGACCTAGAGAGGGGATTGTGACTTTGGGCGACCAAATTATTAATAAGAGTACACGTTTTAGATATATTGGATCTATTGTTCAAAGTGATGGTGAAATAGATGGGGATATTATCAGCATAATTCAAGTTGGATGGTTGAAGTGGAGGAATGCATCGGGCTTGTTGTGTGATAAAAAAGTACTGTCAAACTTAAGGGAAAATTCTATAAGATGGTGGTGAGGCCTGCAATGCTTTATGGTGCTGAATGTTGTCCATTAAAAGAGAAGCATAATACTAAGCTAAGTGTGGCAGAGATGAGGATGCTCGGGTGGATGAGTGGTTTTACCCTTAGAGATAGGATACGAAATGAGCATATACGTGAAAAGGTTGGAGTAGCTCCAGTAGAAGATAAGATTAGAGAGAGTCGCATTAGATGGTTTGGTCACACAAAACGGCGGCCTTCCAATGACCCGGTTAGGAAAGGAGAGGTATTATATTTGACTTATGTTAAGAAAGGTAGAGGCAGGCATAAAAAGACTTGGTTAGAAAATATTAGAAATAATCTTTCTTTATTATATTTAAACGAGAATTTGACTTTTAATAGACACAATGGAGAAAAGGATTCAATGTTAGCCGACCCCATGTAGTGGGTATAAAAGACTTGTTGTTGTTTGTTGTTTTGTTGTCTCTTTTAATGGCCAACACAATTTCAATTTACCATCATAAAATTAAAAATTTAAAAAGTTCCAAATTTCAACATTAAAATTTTTAATATTGCTTTATTGGAGGAAATGCATCGGGCTTGGATATCTTTGGATATATTGTTCAGGTGAATGGGCGAAATAGATGGGGATATTATGCAGCTGAAATTCAAGTTTGGATGGGATTGAAAGTGGAGGAATGCATTTCAGGCCTTGTTTATGTGATAGAAATGTACCCCTCAAACTTAAGGGAAAATTCTATAAAGATGGTATAAGGCCCTGCAAAATGTTTTATGGTGGCCGAATGTTGGCCTTTAAAAGAGAAGCCATAATACTAAGTTAAGTGTGGCAAAGAGATGAGGAATGCTTAGGTGGATGAGTGGCTTTACCCTTAGAGGAAAGGATACGAAATGAGCAATATACGTGAAAAGGTTGGAGTAGCTCCAGTAGGAAAAAAAAAAGAATAAGATTAGAGAAAGTCGCCTTAAGATGGTTTGGTCACATAAACCGGCGGCCTTGCGATGACCCGGTTAGGAGAGTAGAGGTATAGATTTGACTTATTTAAAGAAAGGTAAGAGGTAGACCTAAAGACTTGGTTAGAAAAAATATTAGGAAATGACCTTTCTTTTTTAGATTTAAATGAGTAATTTGACTTTTAATTAGGAATCACAATATGAGAAAAAGAGATATCATGTTAGCCGACCCCACGTAGTGGGATAAAAGGCTTAATGTTTTGTTGTTGTTTGGTTTATTATTTGTCTATGTAACTTTTGATTAGCGGAGATTTTTATATTTTTCCATATGAGGAGTGAATACTAAATATAATTTTTTGACTCAACTAAAAACCACATTCGTATATAAGCTCATCCATACATGTGGTCAGAACAATACTATCATTGAGGGATACTATTGAGATAATCGTCTGTTCCTTAACAATTTGGGATGATTTGTGGTAAAAATTATACTTAGAATATAAGTTATCATGTTCACTTTATGCATTAATAATTGCAATAAGTTACTCTAAAAAGACACTCAATACT